CCAAAGGGCCTTCTTCATCCAAACCAATCTTCTGATCCTGTGATTATAAATAGAATTTACTGAAGAATCCTGCATTAAATGAGAGTAGACGTGGGTGGTGCAGTCATAAAATAAAAACTGGTAAAAGACTGCTGATCGGTCACAGGGGAACAAACACATGGCTCTAGAAAGTGTCACGTCAAACTGGAGAAGAGATCAGAAGCATGCTCCTGGGAACTGCTTGCTTGATGTCTGTGGTGAGGAAAATAATTGAATATATTACGAGGAAATAATTTAAGGGCATTCAACGAGAATTAAAATAACACATAATTGCAGAAATTGAAAAGAAAGTCAAGCTTATTAAGTTTCTTCGAATTCTTTGAGGGTGTCAAAAAACTGCTAAAATAAACCTGAGCAGTGACTACCCTACATCTTTGGTTCTCAGAATATACTGAATGAGCTCTTGCAGGATTGAAGGTAGAGTTCTAAACTAGTTAATTGATACAGTTAATAGGAAACAACAGCCACTTGGCAATGCGAGTACAGTGGGTGGTAAAGCAGGAGTTCTAATATGATATCAGTGACCAGGGAACTCCCCTGGGGATTTATCAAGGCTGGACTATGGGAACTCTCTCCTCGCCGGCCTTCCCTCCACAAGCTGCAGGTCATTCAGAACTCTGCAGCTCGTGTACTGTTCCGCACCAGGCTTCGGGACCACATCATTCCCACCCTCGCTCGCCTCCACTGGCTCCCCATCCCCCAGAGGATTGATTTAAAGATCCTCATCCTCACCTACAAGGCCATCCACGGCCTTGCTCCCTCCTACCTCTCTGACCTACTATCCCCCTACTTACCTGCCCGTACCCTCCGTTCCTCCGGCTCCGGTCTGCTCCACGTCCCCCGCCCCAATCGCCCTACCATTGGTGGTCGGGCCTTCAGCCTCTCAGCCCCGAGGCTCTGGAACTCTATGCCCCAGTGCCTTCTCCTTGCTTCCTCCCTCTCCTCCTTCAAGGCCGGTCTCAAAACCTTTCTCTTTGACCGAGCCTTCAGCTCCCCTCTCGACTCTCTTCCCCCTCCTCGCTCCCTCCCTTCCCTCCCCTCACCCTGACCATTTCCCCCCTGCTTGGGTCCTGACCCAACTGTGCAGCGCCTTGGGACGTCCTCCTGACGTGAAAGGCGCTTTATAAATGGAATCTTGTTGTTGTTGTTGTTGTTATCCAATGCGTCACTACGGGTCAGGCTATTTGCTGATGACTTCAGTGAAGCTTTTGGAGTCGATTTTCTACACCCGTTATACAAAAATGTATTAAAACATTTTAGGTCTATCGTAAAACCTGAGTTTCAAAGTACTCTGTGTGGCTGAACTGTGGTTCTTTGTTATGTTTAGTGATAGAGGTGCAGCCAAACACAATGCAGAGTATAATGATCTGAAAGTGGACTCCTATGAGCAGCATTTGCATCTGGGTTAACCCAGCTGTGGAGAGTGCATTTTGAAGGTGAGAATGAAGCAAACGGGTACATATTTCTTCTCAATCTGTTGCTGGCTATTATAAAGCAATAATTGGCAAGTTACAAAAATGTAGTAGGCTGCCAGTACTTTGAGACCAGAGATCAACTATAACAGTTTGCATTTATACAGTGCTCTTCATACAGGGTAGGTCTCACTGAACCACTTTATCAACAGCATTTCATCAACTGGGTTCAATGGGTGACACATTCTCCTCTGGGTCAGAATAGTGAGTTCAAGCCCCATATTGGGATTTAAATTCATAAGTTTGTGTCAGCCTGACTCAGTTTGTAGCATTCTTGCCGCAGGGTCAGAGGTTGTGGGTCCAAGCCCCACATTGTGATTTTGAAACACATATCGAGGCTATGCCGACACTGAAGTGCAGCACTGGGAATGTGATACATTGTCGGAGGTGTCGTCCTTCGGGTGAGACATTAAACCGAGGTACCACCTGCCTGTTCAAATGGATGTTAAAGATCCCATGGCACTATTTGATAAGGGAAGGGAGTTCCTCCCTGTGTCCTGGCCAACAATCCCCCAAAACAAAATTGGTTGTTCACTTCATGGCTGTTTGTGGGACATTGCTGTGCACAAATTGGCTTCTGCGTCACAAAACATGCACAATCACACCACTTTACAGTATATTCTGTGAAGTGCTTTGAGACATCTTGATTGTGTGATACGGTATTAGATGAAATGTAAGACTTATTATTTTTAACAATAAGGCAGCCTGATGAACATAATCCAGCTGTGGTGTTTGCTCATAGGCTGCCACTGCTTTACTACTGGTAACTTCTGTATGCTTGTTTCCAACCTTGATTCAGTTGGCAGCACTCTTGCCTCTGAGTTAGAAGGTTGTGGGATCAAGCCACACATTGGGACTTTGAGCTGATATTCCAGGCTAACACTGTATTATTATTATTATTACAGTGCCGGTGTGTGCTGCATCAATCTGCAGATAAAATGTAGTTATTCACTTCATGGCTGTTTGTGGGACATTGCTGTGCACAAATTGGCTGCTGTGTTTATTATTATGAATAGTTATTAATTAACAACATGATTTTCTGATATACTGCACAAAGCCTTATCAGCCAGTCAAATATTTATTAGGCTATGTTTTTGGCGATGAGGTGCTTTTTCACACTGCTGCTCTGTTTCTCTCTTTCTTTGCCTCCACATTTAAATATCCAAGAGTCTATGTTTGATATATATTCCATCTGCACTTCTTTACCTCTGTACTCCCCTGGGATATTATTGGTTAGCTTCATTGCCAGAATTTTATCTGCATCTGGGTTCTTGTGTCACAGCAAACAATGTAAATTTAGCTACACGGAAGAAATTCCGACAATCACATGACGAGCTCTGAAAGGAATACATGACCAGCTATGAAAAGATATCCTACTGACGTGAAACGCGCTATACAAATGTAATTTTGTTGTTGTTGTTGATGACCATGGTGTTTAGACAGAGGAAGTGCACAGTATTGTGAGTGACATGGATATATACTGTCTGACACAGGTAGGATTCATTCTCACAGGTTGCTACTACTTCATAGCTATTGCTGCATTGTGCCAATGAAGTTATTTTCATTGCTCTTATGTGACTTCATCACACAAGCCAGATCTGAAAAGTATTAAAATACGATCCCAGTGCAATTTCTATGTTGTAGTTAAAATAAAATCAGGTCTATCGATCACATCTTGAAGCAAGTTTTCAAAAGCCATCAGCCTGGAATGGCAATCTGTGCATTGGTGTGATCAGAAACTTTTCTGAAAAATAAAGCCTGTTAGCCTGGCACTCTCGCTTTTGAGTTACAAGTTTCAAAAGGTATGATTTCAAGCCACATATCAGAACTTTGAGTTCACAGTTCACATTCTGATGACACTTCAATGTTCAATGAATCTTCCTAAAATATGCTTACTGCTCTATAATTTCAAACTGTAATTTATCCCCATATTGTGCCTTTACATCTCAGTTGGGACGATGGAACATTGTAGATTTCAGGGATTTCACTACAGAAACATTCAACGCTGTTCAAGAGAGACTTGTAGTAAACTGACAGACATCTGTGCTGATAGATAAATCTTCTTCAAAGCAGAAGCCTCTGCTTCAACAAAGTGCTCCAGCTAGTCACTTGGTGAAACCTGTGGAACCTCTTTGTGCTCCTAATAAACTGTGGCCTTCTGAACAGGAGCCCAATCCTATCCTCAATGAGCTACCTGATCATTGTCAACAATGCGAGCTCAGCCGCGATGGCCTGAATGGCCTCCTTCTGTTCTGTAAAATTCTATGATTCTAATTGTTCTGAGTACCTTTTCCAACTCACATTTTCTGCTATAAAACACCACAAAAGGACATTCTGTGCATTTCTGTCCTGGGTTAATAATAATAATAATCCTTGCATTTGATATAGCGCTTTTAACGTCTTCTAGACATCTCAAAGCACTTCACAGAATATACTGTAAAGTGAATTGACTGTATATTTGTGGGCGAACGCGGCAGCCAATTGCACACAGCAATGTCCCACAAACCGTCGTGGATTGAAAATGACCAATTTATTATTGTTTTGTTTTTGGAGGGTTTATTATTAGGCGTGCGGAGTAAGGAAACTTGCCCAAGGTTTCGCCCTGCCTGGAATTGAACTCACGTCTCCAGCATCCATTCACACCAATGAAGACATCTCCACTGCTTAGGCCCCCTGAGGTAGAACAGTATGTCAGCTTGCTTTACAAGTGCTACTTTCGTCAACAGTTTTGAAGATGTAACTGAACAAGGATATCACATGACTTGAATATGTGATGGACAGACTTGGGCCTTGTACTCCAGGTACCTGGCACATTCTCCATTTCCATCACAGTTACTCGTGCTTAAACAATGTAAAGTTGAAATCCACAATATGGGACAACATTATTATTTTTAATACACATTTCCTGAGAAAAATTAAAAGTACTGTAGTGTTAATGCAATTCTTTGGTTCAGATCTGCTGTGTTCCTCAAAGGTATCTCTGATCACTCTAAGGTGTAAAATAGATTTGTTTCAAACTACAAGGCAACTCTATTATAACTCACCTCCCGATAGCACAGCTATGCAATTAGATTGTGGATCCCAATATTTCTTACCTGAAAAATGTCCCCACACAAATCTGGTCACCGCACAAAAATGAGAGATTACCAGAGTGTCAGATCACCAATGATGTCACTTGCTGTGTGCTCTGCTGTTGTTGTTTTGTGAAAGAAGTGACGTTAATAGCACTTACTGTGCAGAACGTGCAGGATGTTATGTCAGTACCAAAAGTCAGCCATATTATCATACCTCTTTATCACTCAGGGCCTGAGACTTTGGACCCAAATGACCACATTATAAAAGGATTGCCCTGGAGTAGTTCAATTTTCTCCATTACATTAAACTTACCTACCGATTTCTCAGTAATACTTCTTCTTAGTGCCTAAACAGGAGTGTGACTTCCAAGTGGAACAGATGTCAACATGCCCAGTTATAAACCTGCAAACTGACCTCCAGGGGGTATTCCTCCTCAGTCCTCTTCAGGGGATCCACCACCTGCCAGCAAATGAGGATGCAGAGATCGATGAGCAGCATGCCACCCACAATGATCATCAACTTCTGGTCCTTGATGATCTGATGAGAGAGAAAAACAGGAACTCCTCATCATATTCCTAGAATTCCAACCATTCCAGTGCAATTGGAGCTCGATTCATAAAATCAGTCAATGTTTTCCTCTTGTCCACCACTTCTCCTCTCACCTCTACCAAAACGTTTGCAACTCAGGAGATCATTTGATCCCTTATCTCAGTGATGCCTGCTTCTCCAAACAGAGCTACTCTATCATCAACGCTATTTTTCCTCATATATCTGATTTATCCGATTCCCCAACTCGGTGTCAACAACAACAACAACAACAAGATTCCATTTATAGAGCGCCTTTCACGTCAGGAGGACGTCCCAAGGCGCTGCACAGTTGGGTCATGACCCGAGCAGGGGGGAAATGGTCAGGGTGAGGGGAGGGAAGGGAGGGAGAGAGGAGGGGGGAAATGGTCAGGGTGAGGGGAGGGAAGGGAGGGAGCGAGGAGGAGGAAGAGAGTCGAGAGGGGAGCTGAAGGCACGGTCAAAGAGAAAGGTTTTGAGACCGGCCTTGAAGGAGGAAAGGGAGGAAGCAAGGCGAAGGCACTGGGGGATGGAGTTCCAGAGCCTCGGGGCTGAGAGGCTGAAGGCCCGACCACCGATGGTAGGGCGGTTGGGGCGGGGGACGTGGAGCAGACCGGAGCCAGAGGAACGGAGGGTACGGGCAGGTAGGTAGGGGGATAGTAGGTTGGAGAGGTAGGAGGGAGCAAGGCCGTGAATGGCCTTGTAGGTGAGGATGAGGATCTTGAAATCAATCCTCTGGGGGATGGGGAGCCAGTGGAGGCGAGCGAGGGTGGGAGTGATGTGGTCCCGAAGCCTGGTGCGGGACAGTACACGAGCTGCAGAGTTCTGAATGACCTGCAGCTTGTGGAGGGAGGTGGCGGGAAGGCCGGCGAGGAGAGAGTTCCCATAGTCCAGCCTTGAGGTGACAAAGGCGTGAACCAGGGTTTCAGCAGCGTGAGGGGTGAGGTAGTGCCGTAGTCTGGCGATATTCCGGAGGTGATGGAAGGCGGTGCCAGTTGTGGTGCGGATGTGAGGGAGAAAGGACAGCTCAGGGTCGAACAAAACGCCGAGGTTCCTGACTGGCTTTGAGAGGTGGAGAGTGCAGCCTTGGATGCTGATGGTGTCAGCGCCTGAGGTGCGGAGGCGCTGACGTGAGCCAATCAGGAGGGCCTCGGTTTTTCGCACGTTGAGCTGAAGAAAGTTGTCTCTCGTCCAGGACTCGATGTCGGACAGGCAGGCTGTCAGGACATCGGTGGTCGTGGAGTTGAGAGTAGAGGAGGAAAGGTAGAGTTGGGTGTCATCCGCATACATGTGGAAGTTAACCCCATGTTTGCGGATGATGTCACCAAGGGGGAGCATATAGAGGGTGAAGAGGAGGGGACCGAGGACAGAGCCCTGAGGGACACCACATGAGACAGTACGGGGGGTGGAGGAGAAGCCATTCGTTGAGACGAAGTGAAGACGGTGGGAAAGGTAAGAGCTAAACCATTCAAGGACAGTGCCTTGAAGGTTGAGGTGGGAGGACAAGCGGTGGAGTAGGATAGCGTGGTCGACCGTATCGAATGCTGCCGATAGGTCGAGGAGGACGAGGAGACAGAGGGAGCCCTGGTCACAGATGGTCAGGATATCATTGGTGACCTTGACCAGGGCAGTTTCTGTGCTATGAGCAGCACGGAAACCTGACTGAAGGGGTTCAAAAAGAGAATGGGTGGAAAGGAAAGAGCGCAGTTGGGAGGCGACAACTCTTTCCAAGACCTTGGAGAGAAAGGGGAGGTTGGAGATGGGCCGGTAGCTTGATAGCTGCGACGCATCAAGGGAGGGTTTTTTCAGGGTGGGCGTGATGATGGCAGTTTTTAATGGAATGGGGACAGAGCCAGAGGAGAGGGACAGGTTTATGATGTCAGTGATGTGTGGGGCAAGAAAATGGAGCTGGGAGATAAGGAGTGGAGTGGGGATGGGGTCAAGGGAGCAGGTGGTTGGTTTTAGGGATAGGATGAGTTCAGTGACAGAGGGTGGGGAAACGGGTACGAAGGTGTGTAGGGGAGGATGGGTAGGAGTCGGAGTGTGGGAGGGAAGGGGTGGGTGGTGGGTGGAAGTTGGAGGGGAAGTGACCGCGGAGCGGATTCCCTTGATCTTGGATTCAAGGAAATCCAGCATCTCCTCGCAGTGAAGGTTGGAGGAGATGACCTGCGCGGGGTGGCGGGGGGGACGGAGGAGTCGGGATGTGGTGGAAAACAGTAGCCTGGGGTTGTTCTTCGCCTCCAGGATTATCCTGGAGTAGAAGGACGACTTGGCCGAGGCTAGAGTGGAGCGGTAAATTTTGAGGAGGTCCAGCCAGATTTGTCGGTGGACCGTTAGGCCAGATTTGACAAAGGTGCGCTCAGCAGCCCGCACCTGGCATTTCAGTGAGCGGAGGTGGGTGGTGTACCAGGGGGAGGAGCGGGAGTAGGAGACAGTGCGGGAAGTGATGGGGGCAAGAGTATCGAGTGTGGAGGAGAGGATATTGTGGAGGAGGGAGAGAGGAGAAGAGGGGTCGGTGAGGGTTGAAGGCCAGAGGGAGAGGAGTTCAGAGGACTCCAAGGCATCGGTTAGGGATTGTGGGGGTAACTTCTTCCAAGGGCGGTAGAAGATGGTGGTGGGTCTGGTGGAGGTGGGGAGGGGGGTGGAGGTGGTGAAGGAGATGAAGTAGTGGTCGGAGATGGCCTTGTCGGTAATAGTGACATCCGAGACACTGAGGCCCCGGGTGATCACCAAATCGAGTGGGTGGCCGTGACTGTGAGTGGGGGAGTTTATGTGTAGGGAAAGGTTGAGTGAGGAGAGCAGGGAAGAGAAGTCTGTGGAGATGGAGCAGGAGGGGGTGAAGTGTAGGTTAAAGTCGCCCAGGATGATGAGGCGATCAGAGGAGAGGCAAAGAGATGTGAGGAGTGTTGAAATGTCAGAGATGAAGGTGGGAGAGGTTTTAGGGGGCCGGTAGAGGAGGAGGATTTTAAGGGAGAGGAATGAGGGGTGGGAGAGGGTGAGGTGCTCGAAGGAGGGGAAAGAGCCAGTGGAGTAGGGGGATAGGGCAAGTGGTGTCCTTGAGATAAGGGCAACACCACCGCCACGGCGGTTGGGGCGGGGGATGTGGTGGGAGGTGTAGCCGGGTGGCGTGGCCTCCGTGAGGGGGAAGGTGTCGCCTGGGGTGAGCCACGTTTCTGTCAAGGCCATGATATCAACGTTCTCATCAAGGATGAGATCGTTGATGACCAGGGCCTTGTTGCAGAGGGAGCGGACATTTTGCAGTCCGATGTGGAGGGAGCGGTTGACAGAAGGGTGTGTGGGAGGGGAGGGGGGTCCAGGTTGTGAGGCAGGGGTGGGGGGAATGGGGATGAGGGAGGAGAGGTTGACTCCCCGGGTCTGTGTCCGGGGTGGCTGGCGAGAGTGGTGGGGAATGGGGCAGTCGGTGTGGCTGCTGCTGGACAGCCAACGCCGAGTGCCGCGGTGAGCCCGGCGGAGGATTCCCAGGCTGGAACAGAGGGAGGTTGTGGGAGGGTCAAGTGGGGATAGAAGACGAGAGGGACGGAGAGAGAGGAGGAGAGAGCGGGAGAGATGCAGAGGGGGGAGGGTTTGGGGGGAGAGAGGAGGGGGGAGGGAGGGAGGGGGTGAGGGGGCTCGGGTCAAAGCGGCAGCCATAGTGCGCACGCGGGGACCGGGAGCGAGCGGTCAGGTGGATGGCATTATCCCGCAGATTGGGGCATCGAACCCAACAGGACCATAGTGGGCTCTGATGTGAGCCCTGGGGGGTGGGGGGGGGGCGCGGAGTTTTTTTTTTTTTTTTTTTTTGTGCGCGCGCACTCACCTGAAAACTAATCTATGACGTCGCAGTTCCCCCGCTCCGCCTCCAGACCACCCCTCCCCTCCCCTGCCTAGCTGAACTCGCTCCGGCGTCGAGTTTAAGTTTAACAGCCAATTATGGTCAAGCATTCCATATTCTAACAACTAGGTGGAAATGCAATGATTTATAAGGGGATTCCTTACTAAGAGATCCAAGTGCGGATGCCTTCCTGTAACTCATGGTTCACCCTTACTATTTTGATCTGCAGGAACCCTGTTGTGAAAGTAAATTGTGTTATGCGTCAGTGTGATCTACTTTGAGCTACTTTTAAGAGAGCCCACCAAAATTGCTCCATATTAGACCCCCATCACAGGAGACAAGAGATATGTGGTTGAAGAAGGCTCTTCAGTCTTTCTGATCTCATCCTTCAAAATAACCATTTTACTAACTTCCGTTTTCAGCATAAAAACATCAGGGAGCAAACAGAAAACAAGCGACAGAGAAAGAATCACGTTTTTGGGGGGGTCAGCTGGGCATGTGTAGCACATGCAGAAACCTATCACCAAACCAGACTGAGAGTTTTACATATGTATGCTATCTATGCATGAGAATTTCCCAGGGTCCAGAATGCAATGTGCACTCTCTCCCTTGAAGGAGCACACTTTTCTTATCTAATTCTGGAGGGTTTTAAGCACAGTGGCTGGTGAGAGCAAAGACTTAAATGCTACCATAGTGAAGGGTGTTACATAAATCCAAGTTGTTGTGTTGAAGACCCCAAAGTGTGGGTTAGGGTACTGCTTGAGTTTAATGAGCCAAAACCACATAGCTTGTCATTGTGAGCATTTGTCGAGCAAGCTTCTGGCTACTTGTTCAGCTAGTGCACCCTCCCCATTAGTCCATGAGCCAAGGGGCAATAACCCCAGTGACCCCTCCATGGCTTGGTGACAAGTACTGGGTCAGATGACTGAGGATATGTCAGAGGGTTGATTCAGTGGCAAAATTCCCATTGACAAGTACATCAGCTCAGTTTGCTAGAAGACAGCACTCTCCCCTCCCCCATGATGATAATCACTAGTTGATCATTTGACATAAAAGAGCAGGATTGGGCTCACTCTGAATGGATGGCAGGTACCAGAAATTCCCTGCAAGCATTCTTGTGAGCAGCGCAACACAGCGTGAAATACGTAAGAGTGTTGCTGCCCTATTCTTACTCACAGGTTGGACACACATCTCTACCCATTGAGCGATGTTTCCACCTGTTGGAAGTGTGGAACTTCAGCAGTAGCTATTCACCTCTCTGCAAATCAATCAAAATGGAATCCAAGCCTTGCTTACGTGAGTGTGCATTCATGAACACGGACGTCAGCTAATGCCTTCCAGCAGCTGTCGTCCCAAGCTTCAGAGTTTTCTCATCAGCTATTCAAAGGCATTGGCCTAAGTATCGTGGAAGAACCTGTAAAGGACAGCTTCTCATGCCCCAAATACCTTGATGTTCTTGAGGTCCAAGTCCAATATCATAAACTAGACTTATTCAACTCCAAATACTTAAAGTCCTCATGTAAGGGGCTTTAGCAAATAGATGGGACTGAATCCGACTACACCTCCAGGGTGCTTAGTGAAAAGTAATGTAAGCTATGTTATGTATTCTGTACTTATGCCACTCAGAAAAGCATAAATATACAAAGTGTTGAGGCACCTGGGCAAGCAGAGACTTAGGAGAGTTTCAGCTAACCTTATTTTTTTCATTATTTGCTTTCCCAGATCACACCAACTGAGAAATAATGTGTACTGGTCAGTGGAGTTCAGAAAGCAAATGATGCGTGGTGTGTCCCGAGAATAAAAAGGCAACCTGGAATGCAAAGCACCCAGAAATGATGTTCTGCCAGCCACACTCAGCATCACTGTGGCATTATTATTCTGTATGGCAAGAACTCTTCAAACTCTTACAGGCGACACAGCAGGAAGAAGACAGACAGTGCTCAATATCTAAATGTGTCACTCAGGGAATGGCTGCTTCAGTGACAAAAGCTTGTGTAATTTGTAGATTTCCTGTGAGTGAGTGATCAGCAAAAGAGGCAAGTTATGCCATTTTTCATTTAATCGGCTCCCAGAGGCCTGAAATTGCACCTAGTCTTAACCTGTAGGGCCAAATTCTCTTAAAATGTACAGCACAAGAATTATGGAAAGAAAATTCTTAAGATCATACTTTGGAAACTAGTTATTTTAAGTACTGTGCAAAACTGCCTTTCAAATCAAGGTGACATTTAAGAAGTTTCTTAAATTCTTCATGATTGAAAATTATTAGACAAAACAGTCCTTGATCCACGTTCGGACTTTCAAATCAGTCTAGATTGACACTCCAATGCAGTGAGGGAACATCCCATGGCACTCCTCAAAAATAGAAGGAAGTTTCTCCAGGCGCCCTGATCGACAATCCCTCAAATAATACATGCAGATTGGCTGACACTGTTTGTACATCCTGACAAGTGTTTTGAGATGTCATCTCGATGTCAAAGGCAAGGATTATTATATTCATATTATTATTTCCCCAGGACTACCTAGGGTGAAACATACAACATTTTATATAAGTATCACTGGAGAAATTATTGCTGAAAATTGTGGTCGAAAGCATTCTTTGATTATCGATTAGTTTGAGTGTGAACACTAGACTTCCCCATCCTCAACACAATAAAGTAGCCTGAAACAAGCCCAAGCCTCCATCTGCCAACATTATTGCTGCCACCTGTGGACCACATAAGTTCCTCACTGCCGCTAAATTACAGAAATCACTGGTGGTTCACAACTCCCAATGTGTGAGTCATCACCAAACTGATGGGATGTACATTGAACAACTGATCTCTATCCCAGATTCAATAATATTTTATTACACCGAAGAAAACCAGATGGAGTCTAACTTGTTAACTTGAAGAAAACCAGATGGTTTTCTGTTTCCATTTACTCAGTTGGTTTGTGAATTGGTTTGCTGAATGTTTCTTTCATGTTAGAAGCAGCAGCACCAATCAATGCAATATTTGTTCCTCTGGCCAAGTTCGAACAAGTACCATCAGCAAAATGAAAAGCTGTTACATGCACAGTTGTAGAAGAACATAAATCTTTCTATAGAATATCTGTTGCTGTCATTTGCTGCCTGCCTCTCTCTATTTCAAGTGTTTTTATTTCATGTTATTTTATAAATAAGCCGATGTAGTCTCTGAAAAAGATCAGTGGAACTCTTATTACACACACCGTTTATCATTCATACCTGACAGTAAAAAAGGCTTTTAGAATAGTATGGATAGATGACATTTCAGCCTGTTTCTGACAAGCTTTTCCTTTCCCTCTCTCTCTCGCTCGCTCTCTTTTTGTCTATCTCTGTAATGCACAATTTCAACTTCCTCAAACAAGTTGATTTCAGTTCTTCCACTTTCAATTTCTAATTATTTCCCTTTGGGTCTAAGTCAATCTCTCTCATTCAGTCCAGTCTCACTCTCTCATCCAGCCTGATCTCCCAAATCCTATCTCTAAATACCTTACAAACCTAAGTAATACTGAACTGCCAGTCAGCAACTTGCATTAAATAGACATTGGAGTCTAACTTGCATATTATTCCTGCAGATAACTGGCTGAGTCAGAAACCAACCCATTTAGATCACCACTAACACTGTATTTTTATAGGGAGATGTATAACTTTACTCTTAATTGAATAATGTTAAAAACGTAGGTCCGTGGGTGATACAAGCAGATTTTTACTGATACAATGGTCATGTGATGGATAATCCAGGGCACTTGAGAGATACAACAGTCTTGGGTGAGTCACTACAGTTTCACCTCTCACATCTTTAGGTGATATAAGCAGAGGCAAAGAACTTGGGGGGAAAAATAACTGAGTGTTATTGGAATATGGAATTATATTCCATAGAAAGACTGGTGAAGCTAAGATCACACAAACATTAAAAAAAATATCTTTTAAAGAGGAACAATAAAAAAGAGTTTAAGATAAAGTAGGGCATTGAGATTGGAGTGAATAGCTCTAGTTCCAGACCTGGTACCCTAGGCTCGAGTGCCTATTAACCTCCCTTTTGTTGTTATTTCTATGATTTTAAAGTTGAATGAAGAGGCAAAAAAAAAAAAACAATGATAGCAAGTGGACTCCAGCAGTGTACAATCTTATAATACATTGTACACTGTATCCTGATATTTTTAGATTGTTGCACCCCCATCCCACCTGCCTGTTATCCGGTAGATGGGTTGGTGAGTGTGTAGGTTGGTGGGTGGAGGATCAGCAGCTGTGTAGAATGCTGCATGTTTGAGGACGGCAGCTGGGAAGATTTCTCTATTGTTACTTTAGCTTTTCTATTTTCAGTTTTAGATTAGCAATTGTGGCCTCAATGCTGCATAGTGATGTTCCTCCCACACTCTGTGCTTGCTCCCAGCTGCAGTGACCTTACTGCAATAATCATTAAAACATTCAAGATCAATTCTTGCACAATATTCTACCAAACTGGCTTCACTAAACTATCACCGAACTATCTTCTTCATATTCCTTCTCACTGCCAGTGTTGTTCTACATGTATCTTTCTGCTGCTTTGTTATTAGTATGATAATCTGATAGAGTCATGTTGCTGGAACAGGAGGACATCAAGGTATAATTTTTGAGCAATGATAAAGGATTTGTAACCAGTAAATCTTGCCCTGGATGTCTCAGGAGTCGAATCACTGGAACTTGCCTTAGCTTTCGATCTCATTCTGGTGTCTGGAGCCTCTTTTAACCACAATTTGTTTCACAGAAGTCAGAACTATTATGAGCATCTGAGCGGAGTTCTATCAGGTTGTTCCTGACACATCCAGATACGTGCAGAATTCTCCAGTTATAAATGCTTTACAACTCTTGTAAGTTAGACTTTATGATAGCTTACAGCAATAAAAAATTATATTAGATTAAATTTCGTTCCCAATTAACTTGATTACAGGATCTAAAGTATGGCAAAATATGAGATGTCTCAATGATGTGGTAAGGCATTATATCAAATGCAAGGATTATTATTATGGGCTATTAGCCTATCAGCTAACTATGTTCAAACGCACATAATATGCTCTTAATTGTGTAATTAACCCCGTTTTTTGCTCAGCCAGATATCCGACACACACGGAAACCCATCACCATTGAAAATCCCCAAACCGAACTACTGAGAGTTCCACATATGTCTTGATTCTGATTGTCTGAAATGGAGTGTTCACTCTTTTCCCATAGATATCATCTTGCTCACCTAGTCCCAAAGCATTTAGGTGCCAATTGGTGAGGGTCATAGCTTGGAGACCCTAAAGTGTGCTTTGGGAATACTGTTGGAGTTTAACCAACTAAAATTGTATAGATTGCAATTGCAAAGACTTGCCAGCTTCCCTTTGGAGTCTTCCATAGAAGAGTAGTGAAGCTAAAACGTTAAAAAATAAACTATAATTTAAAGAGAAACCATAATTTAACAATGAAAGAATTTAAGGAAAAGGCAGGGAATTGGGATTGGAGTGGATAGCTCTAGTTTTGCAGATGGGATCCAGGACTTGATGGACCACATGACCATCGTCCAAGTTGGAGCCTCCTCCCCATCAGGGCTTTGGCTTGCAAGGTTAACAGGATGTGAGTAGGAAGAATCCTTGCTCCCAGTCACAGGTTTGTTACTCCAAGTTCTGTCAATGAATCAGACTCGCTGGTTTGTCATGAACATCAACTGATAAGAAGGATTGCAGGTCCTTCTCTAATCCTTTTCATTGCATAATTACAAAATGCTGTCAGTTGCAAACCTGTGACTCCATTTGTGGCCACCAGTTGAGAATCTCGAGAACAGCCAAGTAAAGAAACAGGCCTGAGAGCAAAACCCTGCTCCTGACTTGCTAATTTCACAGCAGTGTTGGGGAGTGAAACTCTACACAGTAAACGTACAGCAGTGTCAGGGAGTGAAACTCTACACAGTAAATATACAGCAGTGTCAGGGAGTGAAAGCTTAGTATTGAGATCTCACCTTCTTCTTCATTTTCACGTTTTTGAATATGGCGTGGACTCTCCATGTCTTTGCAAACATTGCTCCAAATGCTGTTGTGTAGCCAACTGTAAGGATCCAGGTTCTAACCTGAATGAGGAAAAAAATAATAAAGAATATCCTTTAATTATCCAACAGCATTTCTACTGACAATGACAGAACACGATGAGGGTAACAATTCAGTGAGGTGTTACATGCAGTGCCTTTGGTGAGCTTTAATGGTGAAATACCATTGATGGTGATGTCCAAAATGATAAACAGATGTTTTACCCAGATATTCTATGTAATTGTATTTTTCACATTAAAACAAATCTTACAGGAGGTATGTTGAGGTTTATATTCATCAGAAGAAATAAGTGTTTGGTTGGGAAAAAATAATTCATGAAAAAAAGAGGGTTTTTAAACATTAAATCCTAGTTATGTCTTGAACTGACTGTGAAGGTGTGAAGTTATTGACTTGTTCTTCTCTGTAACTCTCATTTGTGTTTCAATCTCTGTTGTGTTTTCTAAAAGTGCCATGGGTTCTTTAACTTCCATTTGAACAGGCAGACTGGACCTCAGTCTCATCTTTACAGTTGAATCTATCTTTTCAACTACTTCACAGTTCCTATTCCTATACCTACAAAAAAACTGTGACACATTCTGCTGACAAATTATCAGACTATTGAATTATCTGACATTATACCATCTCTAAGGTAACAAATTCCATGACACAAGCCAGTCAAAGAAACACATCAAAGAATGGGTGGAAACTCACAAAATGGAGCAGACCTCAAAATGAGGTGAATAATACAGAAATGCTACAATTTTAATGATGTTGACATTTCCATCAAATTGATCTTGAATAATGCAATTCAGAACCTAAATGAAAAGATATGTCAGCAGAAAGACATTCCACAAGCGGCACAATAACCATTCCTGTCATCTAAAACTGGCAGCATTTATAGAGTAAGAATTATTCATTGCTGAATCAGAGAACAATTCACAAGCATGGAACATTGGTTTGGATAAAGAACATGTTTCTATTGGCTCTGATGATTCAGGAGTTTAATGCAGTGCATCAACTGGTAATGAGCCATAAAGACCAGAGAAGTTTCAGGTATGATCCCTTGTCTATGCTGAGCTAACTGATTCTAGCAGGTGGCTGGGACGGTGTTGGTGCCAGAATTTATATATCCTCAGGGTAAGGAAAGGAAAAATCATTAGGAACTTCCATTAGATTGTTGTCCAGAGACTTCTACTGATCTGTGTGTATTTGTGTGTGTGTGCTTGTGTGCAAGTAAGATATATATATATACACAGTAGAGGCCCAAAATTTATATATTCTTAGCATTAAGGTCATTGTCTTAAGTTTATGATCATGTAATCTTGATTTAGAAACTAGTTTTCAGCTGTTCTTAAAATAAAAATGAACAAATATAAGAGTTAATTTAAGAATTTTCTAAAATTGAAGGCAATGAGGCTGGATGAACTTGGCTATGCTTCCACCCCCTCCCCCTCCTCCCAGGATTGAATAGTCTTCTGACATGATGAAAAATGGATACTTCAGCATGGTACTAGCAGACTGTTTTTCATTGGAACAATGCCATATCATGAGTCATTGCTTTCAGGGAAGCAGTGAGGGGAAGGGAGGAACATTGTCTTCATTTGTTTTTTAAACATCATGAGCAACAATAGCAGCCCCTAGTGGTTTTGGCAACAACAAAGGTGGCTGCTGAAATCTTCATCCAGTGTTCCACAATTCGTAAGTTCCACATCTGGACCTAGTCTTTAATTACCAATTGGAAAATTCCCATGTTTGTTAACAAATTTGACCACGATCATAAATCTCTTAAAATTTATCACATTTTTTACCATCTTATCTGAACTTTGCAGTATTTCTAAATGGATTTCATAATTAAGAAATTTGATTTGTGATTTCTTCCATCAACTAGCAAGTATGTCATTACACATCACACATGATGCACACATCACACCAACTCCAGCTTACAATAGCACTCCGAGACTCTGGCCCGCATGAAGGGTGTTACATAAATGCAAGTTGTTGTAGAATAGCTTTCCTGCAAAGTTTTCATAATGTACTTGATGCTGATTCTCGGAAACAGAAATCATCACAATTTTAATCCCCAATAAGCCACAATGTTTTTCCTTGGTTAGTGATAGATTGTAAAAGGAGATGCCAAATGTGTCAACATTGTGGGCTTTATTTTTTGTCATCAAACAAATCTGAATCTACTGTTTCTGGATGCTACAATCCTACCAGATGAGTTCATTGCCAATTGTAGGATAATGTTTTCTTGTGAGCTTTAGCAGTTGTACTGAAGGCTCTGAGTGGGATGCGCTTCCTGCTCCTTCTTTCCCAAATATTTCATCCAGACAACTGTGACTCCTATTGCCCACACTTTTTTCTTCTATTATTCAACCAACCTTCTTAAGGACTATACTTGTAAAAGCATTTGGTAATTTATGAATACATACATTCCCCCTACCATATTTTATGCACTCTTTCCTATAAGTATATTTGAGGGTATCTTCTCACATCCTTATGAGCTCAATACTATGCTCTGCATCTAAAGCTCCCAGTTATTAGTGACACAGTCGGCATCGATCTATCTGAGGATTGGTCTGATTTTAGTGTTTATATCCCATAAGCTTGGTTATAGAAATGCTCATTGAAATATGGCTAACAAGTCTATGGATTACAAGTCTGTGGATTAACAAGTCAATCCATGACTGTTTGTGGGACACAGCTGTGCGCAATTGGCTGCCGCATTTCTCCCACAAATATACGGTCAATTCACTTTGCAGTCTATTCTGTGAAGCGTTTTGAGACGTCTAGAAGATGTAAAAAGCACTATATCAAATGCAAGGATTATTATTATTATTATAGATAGCGAACACACCCAGGTTATCAAACTCCCAATCACAGTCAATCCTGTGAAGTGTTTGGGGACTAACTCCCGATGTAAAAGATGCTGTACCAAATGCAAGGAATATTATTTATAACTTCAATATAATTTATATCTTATAACTTCAGGCAAATTCGAATATTGGTAATTGTTACAAATTAAGGACAAAAATGTTTTTTTGTAAGTAAGAAAATTTGTGAAACGAAGGGGAGAAAATACATTCCATTACATTGTGCGGCTAAGTATATATATTTTGGGACTCAAATGTGTGTATATGTCTCATAAGCACGAACGCACGCACGCACACACACACACGCATACACACACATACACACCCACACACAGGTCAGTAGACGTCTCTGGACAATAATCTAATGGGAGCTCCTAATGACCATGTAAGAGGAAGGTGCTCCTTAATTAACAATATAGGAATAAAAGTGTGATAGTTGGTATTCTAGAAGGATAAGGTAAAATTGATGAAAGGACCCTCTTCATCCAAACTTCTTTTGTGGCCTTGTGATATGTGACAGTTATCAAGAAAATATAAGCCTGTCTTGACCATGGGTGTTTCACTTAATGACCAACGCAGCCTGACTTAAACATTTCTGCTTTCTGCTGCTCCCAATCTCTGAATGGTGATTTAGTGCAGCTATAAATAGCTTTACCTAACTGGTATCTTGTTAGGTGACATTTAACCATTGGCCCCGGTGCCTAGAAAAGCCATGCAACTAGAGAAGACTGGAAGTTACTTATCAATCTGTCACATGAAATCTGTTGAAAATTCCTCTCGCTTCTTTATACAGGCTGTACCTTCAGACTGCCTGATAATTTTCTTACTACTTTCAGATTGTTTCTGATTCTAGAAATATGCACTAATGAAATTTTTGCTCCTTCATACTTACTGTACACAGAGTCTCAAATGTGTTAGGCTTTACAAATGATCCATCAAGGCCAAAAAGGAAGATGGATGCATAAGAAAGCATCCCTCCCAGGATAATAAGGTTGTTCATGTAGGGACTGGACATCTTGATCAACCTGCAGAAAAGAGCAGACATATGGCATGTTTAGTTTAACAAGGTCATTCTCTGTTTCTTTCTACGTTATTATATTGTCTTTGCTATATGATTAATGACCAAATATTGGCCAGCTCTCTTCAGGGATTCCTGATGGACTCCTTAAATAGATTTGCACAAGAGGCATTAGCGCCTGCCACAAGATCTGATCAAATTTGGTACTGCAACTTTTCATGTATTATACATATTTTGAACATGAAAATAAAATATGGAGACCTCGTACTTTCAGTCTCTTAAATGTAGCAAACTGTGAAACAAGATAAGTAAGTGAAGCGTGCGACAGCTGGTCAAAACATTCCAGGAAACAAAAGCCCAAACACATTTTTGATATGCAAATGATTTGAAAGTAAATGTGAACTTAATTATTTTTGACCACAGTGTTTACAATCTCATTCTACTCACCCTACTTATTACAAATTTATACTGTATTAATTATTTTAATTAATTTCTTTCTCAGTCTAATTTCTATTGGCAACAGCTAAGGATTAATGTTGGGGTGGATAAAGTTGGGTGGTAAAGTATCCTGATATTAATCCAAGGTCACTTAACATCATTTGAACTGAGTCTGTGTGCCTGTTATGTTAAATGCATTCTCTGAAACCATGTAATTTAATGGTATTGCTGTGGTGCTGCATTTTTATTCCAGGCTCATTTTGTGAACATACATGTGATACGTGACAAAATAGTTCTGTTGGCAATGTGCACTCCACACAGGATGAAAAAAAGACCTCTATGCACAGAATACTTTGAAATTTCTGCTTACATACAACTTATAGGAAAAATAGGTTTGACTTGGCCTGTGACGTTTAAGTTGAAGAGTTTAAGTCCTCAAGGTGTCAATCCCTCACATTAACTTGCGGAATAATTCACTAGAGACAGGATTTCAACCTACTTATTAATGTCTTTGCAAATTAATGTAACAATCTTATGGCAGATCCTGTAATTGTATCAGTTCCTTTCAGCACAGCCCCACTATTAGTTTAATTTTTTAGATTCTTGAGACACTTCCCCAGATTGACTTGCATTTACCCATCTTAACTACCATTCATTCAGGTCCATTATGATGTCCGCTTTGGAGTCTTAAACTATTCATCTTGAGTGCATAAGAAACCCAAGATGATATTTTCACAGACAGCTTAACAGTGCGAATCAACGATCAATGGGCTAAATGGCCCTCTCTGTTCCTTGTTTAGTGTTTTAAGTGTTCAGTTCAGCCTTTCTTTAACATTCTTGTGAATGGGAGATACAGGCTAATGTGGGCTTATTTTAGTGAATGTAGGAAAGTATTTCTATCCCCTGTCTACTATTGTAGGGGTGGTGGGTGGTGAATGATTGTGCACATCATTATGATGGGAATAATGGGAATGGAACATCTTCTCATTTTAGATACTCAGACAAAATGTCAAATCTTCTCAGGTCACCTATTACATGGATAGATACACCGTAAACAGAGTTAAAATAACCCGTTCAATGATCAGTATTAGGAAACGCACTATGTAAAGTCAGTTGACTGTGTTCTTTTATCACTAGCAAGGTGCTAGCTGACTAAGAGGAGTGGCAGCTGCAGTGGGTACAGAGGCTGAGTGCAGGTGAATCTTTATGAAAGAACAAAGGCACTATTCAAGTAATAAGAAATGTTTGTGTTTCTTCTTAACCCATTTTCCTTCTGCTAGTTAAGAGGAATTGGGTTAAAAAAAACACACAACTCATTGTATGAATTGCCTTAAGATATGATAGCCACTATATGAAAAACAAATATTTATTTAGTTTAAATGGTCATGCATGTAGGCCTGCCAAGTTCCACTTATTAAGAGCGACAATCAAGTACTTCAAACTAAACCAGGTTTGGTGTCTGTCACTTTGAAATCTAAGCAGAGCTTTACATATTTCACTGGGGTTGCAATCTGTCGCGCTCTTCCAGATCTTAAATCACGCTGCTCACATCTCCCATTACTGACAGCTCAGTGTCTGTACTTAATAAAATATGAAGATTTATAAATAATCTCTGGTATCTCATTCTCAAACTTTGTAAAATGACTGTTCATCCAGGTTTTTTTTCCCAATCTATTTGAGGAACAGAAGTTAATCTTCTTCGATAATTCAGATCTCAGTGGGGCCAAAACATGGGTTCTGAACAGGCCGGAAATATAGCCTACAAAATACACAGTCACTACACTTCAGAATAAACCATGTAAAGTGATTTGAGACGTCCTCTTGACATCAAAAGATAGCTCTTAAATGAAAGGATGATTATTATTATTGCAGGCAAACCAGGGAAGAATATTCATGCAGTCCATTAATCCTGTAAAAAACAGATCGTAAAAAGAAAATACCCCCATAGAAGCATAACTTATTCCGTATGCTCACATCCACACCAAAGTTCCCTTTACTCTTGCAACAATTTGAAGGCTTACACATCAAGCTCAATAAATGTATTAGAGTAGAAATTGAGTGGCAAAGGGATTTTTTGACAGTGGAATCTTGTAGCTCAGTGGTTACAGCACTCGCAAGCGAGAGACCTGGGTTTGATTCCCGGCAGGGCGAAACGTTGGACAAGTTTCCTTACTCCACATGCCTCTGTTTACCTAACAGTAAGTAGGAATATGTTTGTTAATCAATTGGTGAATAGCTTTTCCAGAGTAAATAATTCCTTCAAAAAAAATATTAGTCACTCAATGACCAGGACTGTTTGTGGGACACCGCTGTGCGCAATTGGCTGCCACGTTTCACCCACAAAATACACAATCAATCCACTTTACAGTATGTTCTGTGAAGCGCTTTGAGACATCTCAAAGACATGATAAATCGCTTTATCAAATGCAAGGATTATTATTGTTATTTTTATCTGAGTAAAGCATCACAAACAAGTCTAATTATATTCCAACCTGACAGCATCATCCATATGTATCCTTTTCAGCAGGGATCACTGCATAATGATCAGGAGCAGGAATCCTGATTAATTATTCCTCTCTTTAGATTTGTGCATGGGTTAACATCATCTTCTGTAATGGCTGAGATGATCATTACTAAAAGCCCTCAACCCTGGCATCAATCTTTGCAAACCTCTACCTCCTTAATAGTTCTAGTGTTCTTACCAATAGGGTGCCAAGAACTGCATGCAGTGCTCAACGGGGGCCTAACAAACAAATGTTAGGTATAAATTTAAATCTCTTCTTTACTTTTGTGTTTATCCTTACGGTTGAGCACCCCGTAAGCAAGTGTCTTTACACCTCCTTTACTTTTTACCCACACTAAATTCTGCATGCCCATCACCCCAGTCTTTGTAATGCTCCACAGTCTCACTGTCTCCCAATGGATCAAGTACAAGTTTCTCATCCTGACCTATAAATCCCTCCACTCCTCTGCGCATTCCCTCTGCTCGGCAAACTCGGGCCAGCCACGCATCCCACACTCCTCCATGTCGCAATCAGTGGCTCAGCCTTCAGTTATTACATCCCTAACCTATGGAACTCTCTACCACTTTGCCACTTATCCCCTCTTTATCCGTCTTTAAATCCCACCTAAAACCTATCTCTGTGATCGAGCCTATGTTTACCTCCCCGTTCTCTCTTGCTCGGCGTCCATCCCTACCACTATGAAACGCCCAAAATGATATTTTTATGTGAAGGGTGATAAAGCACTATATCAAATGCAAGTATTATTATTATTATTAATTATTATTATTATTAAGGGTGCTTAAGGGACACAAAGGTTCTGAACTGAGGAGGTCATCATGAGTTACAACGCACGGAAAAACAATTCTGCCCAATGTTACACACAGTATAGGAATAGGAAAACAAGCACCTCAAATTAAAGTTTCATCCAAAAGATGGCACCTCTAATAATGTAGTACTCCCTTAGAACTCTACTGATGTGTCAGCTTAGACTGTGAGTTCAAAGTCCTGGTGTGAGCTTGAACCCAAACCTTCTGACTCAGAGGCAGTGTGCTATCAGCTGAGCCAAGCTGCTAACTGTCGTATCTAACTGATATGAGGGAATTAGTTTACGCTGATTATAATGACAAAAAGAATCACTATTTGTAGAAATCAGTGTGAATTAGACTAAAATACAGATAATTGTAAATAGACAGTTAAATCAAGACAATATGTATAACTGTTATTGCATAGAAAACAGATAAACTGAGTAAGCTACAAAGATAATTCCATCCTCAGGATCAACAGTCTTGGAGGACAGGATTTTGTAACCTTAAACTGCGGTATTTAGGCAGAGTGTTATGAATTCAAACAGGATAATTAAGGTTGCTTGGTGTATTACACTTTACATAACTGGAGCACAGACCTCACTACAGTGCTGAGCATCCCTGCGGTATTATGGGTTCTGATCGTACAAATCTTTTTTAATTGGATACCTGAGGCAATAAATATTTAGAAAGATTTCAAATGCATGCCTTCATTAGCTGTAGCACTTTATCTGGTCTTAATTAGATAAATAAAACTAATGGATTAAACAAAGATGCACTCAGGAAAGGCACCTTAGGAGAATGTGCTTAATAACATGTATTTCATGTGCACTCAGAGCATAATGCAATATTGGTGATTGCAGGTGAGATAGTTTTGAACTACTGGATCACCCCCTTCCAACGTCACAGCAGCACTGCACTGACAGGATCAGCACTGATCTACAGCTCCTCATTTGATTTAATACTGAACAGAAACCCTCAGGGTGGCAACATCCTTCATTCAAGGACATGTTTGAGATATTTGCAAAGACAATAGAAAGTCTGGAAATTGGATTATGTTGGCCCTTTTTCTTTCCTCCACTTTCTTTCCTTCTTTCCTGAACTGGTGATCCATGCCAGACTACCCTTCCTCTACGCAAAAATAGTCGAACGTTTGAAGTCCGTTCATATAACTATAAACCCCAGTCATGTCCGACCTATGTCAATTAGCTGGCAAGACCAAGACTCTTTCTCCACAACCCTGTAGTTTACTCATTTTTATATATTTATCTAGTTCCTTTTGAAATTTAATAGGGATTCTGCCTCAAGCACTGCTCCTAGCAGGACATTCCATATCCTAACAACTCTGTGTACGAAAACATTTCTTCTAACCTCCCCCAATTACTTGCTTGCTAACTACCTTAAATTGATGCCCACTAGTTACTGATCCACTGACCAGTGCTTGCAATAATAATAATTAACCTTGCATTTGATATAGAGCCATGTCACGTCTTCGAGATGTCTCAAAGCTCTTCACAGAATATACTGTAAAATGAATTAACTATATTTTAATAGGGCGATGTGTTATAACTTGAGGTGTGATTGTACGAATCCCAAATCATGTTATAACAGAGTTCATCTGTCGTTAGCGCTGCAGAGTGCTTGTTGTTACACATCAGTGACATAGCTTATTTCCACTACTACTGGTGGTATAAATTTGGCCCCGGTAAAATTACCCTCAGGACCTTCAGAGTATATGTTGTGAATGGTGGTTCCCTCAGAGAGACTTCAAGACTGTTCTCTTATTTCATTGCTGAAATGGCAGCTATGAATTGTTTGAAAACGGTTTAGGATTTTTGTGATATCATCCTTGGTGGGAATACAAGCTTGTAATCACTCCAAGGCACTAACTGTATTTGTCTTTCTTATACAAGAACTGGTGAATGGCTTTAAAAGATTTGCCAAGTTTCAATAAACTGATGGAACAGGCTCATTGGACAGAAGGGCCTTCTTCTGCCCCCGTTTTCTATCTTCCTATTTTAAACAGTTAAACAGTGTTTCAGTGCTGGTGAATAGAATACCAGTTTCATTCAACCCAGCAGAAAGGAAAGTGAGTCTACGCTTCGGGTCCACGACCCTTCGTCAGAACGTTCTGGAGTCCTGTAGCTCAGTGGTTAGAGCACTCGCTTTGCAAGCGAGAGACCTGAGTTCAATTCCAGGCAGAGGGCGAAACCTTGGGCAAGTTTCCTTACTCCACACAGAGCCTAATAATAATCCCTCCAAAAACCAAAAACAATAATAAATTGGTCATTTTCAATCTACGACTGTTTGTGGGACATTGCTGTGCGCAATTGGCTGCCGCGTTCGCCCACAAATATGCAGTCAATTCACTTTACAGTGTGTTCTGTGAAGCGCTTTGGGACGTCCTCCTGACGTGAAAAGCGCTATATCAAATGCAACGATTATTATTATTATTATTTTGTTTCAGATTTCCAGCATCTGCAGTATTTTGTGTTTTGAAAGATAATTGTGTATTGTATCACATTTTTCATTCCAATAGATAATGAAGATATAAAACAAAGTCCTTACTTATGGTTTCTATTTTTAATGTTGAAGAAGAGAAAAGCACTGGACATGAACATTCCCAAGACGGTCAGAGCGGAAAGAATACTGTACAGGGTGACGGACATCTGACGCAGCTGACGGTGTACTATCGTCCTGTCTTTCGGAGGCTCCAAACCTGAAAGTGGAAAGAGGAAATTCAGTGAAAGGCAACAAACCATATTATTCACAAATAAGTGTTCAGTGTACCGTCAAGAAAATCCATTCAATTAAACAAGAGGGAAAAGGGCAATGGTAACAGAGGTGAACTATTTTCTGCCCGGCTAACCAAATCTAGGCTGCCTTACGAATGCTGCATTTACACTGAGGCAGTGAAGCCATTTCACTCCAGACACAAAGTACAAGGAAATAAAATATTTAAAGCATATAGCAAACATTTTTATAAGTTTGAACTTTGAAAGAAGAATGGAGGAGTGATCCCAGACCGATGTGACCTGCTGGGTTTATACTGTGCAAAAAAGATCCTGAAGCCACATGGGCAAGGCAATGGTGTGATTCAAACTGGCTCAGCCCTTGTTTATACCATAGGCTTAATTGCGAATCGTTACCATAATGGTTGTGAATCATTGCCGGATGCACACCAGAAATGCAGTTCACCCACAAAACACCCAGTGACTACACTTTACAATCAGTATATGCTGTGAAGCATTAGCCATGTCATCCTAATGTGAAAGGCACTATAATCAAATGTAAGGATTATTATTGTAATTATAGTATGAATCAAAGACTTCATCCACCTGACTCCAGCCATTTAATTCTCAAAAGGTTTACTTTTTTTTGGAGCTGCCTTCAAACAACCTCTTAAATACCATATGACAAAAGCACATTATATTTATGATATTTCCAAGGTAACTGTAGGAGTTTCTTAAACTCCTGGTGAGAACAGCCCAATAAGATCATTTGTAAGTGGCTGTGTTATAAGTAGGTTACAATCAGCTTCATAAGTGGATATATTTAATACCATTTTCTGTCCATATTCTAATCCTTAAAACCCAACAAAATTGACCAAAATTGCTTTGTACCATCGCAAAGTTATGGTGGAATTTCCATGCGAGTGTTACGAAAAGAGTAACACGGCATGAGGGGCAGCTGTAGTGTAGTTTAGCTGTGACCTCTGAATCCAGAGATATATTAATGACCTGAAAAAGAGCAACAAGTATATTTGTTTTAAATGTTAAAATGGCCGGCATTGTGGACTGACATGCTGCATAAACAATAACTACACTTATTTGGTGTCATTCAGTGAATGTTGCTCTACAGGCAGACATCATACCTAATTTGCACCAGCGATGTCCTACAAATAACAACGAGGTAAATCTTAAATTTGGGATGAAATTAAATGAGGAGGGAGTATAAATCAGAGTAACTGGAGAAAATGTCACATTTCTTTGAAATAGAGGCAGCAGGGGTAAGGTGGCTTAATGTCTAGATGAATTATAAGGCAAATAGAACCTAATATCTTCACAGGGAAGGCAGACTGCGTCATTGGTGAGATGTAGTCACCTCATGACACTGGTTATATTAAGACATTTTCAACAAAAAAATTGAACTTTAGGAAGCGTTTTACAGTCTGTGAAGGTCACCTAAAAATATTTTGTCAGGATGGAATTGTAGTCAGGTGACTTATTTCCAATGGAATTTATCTGCATAATTTATAAGCAACAAAAAAGGGACTCCACAAAATAAAACAACAATTTGCATTTATATAGCGTCATTCACACCGAATTGCGTGTTGAAGCATTTAAAATTAGGATATTTGCAAAGAGTTGAATCTAATCATGCACATTCTCATTAAACTACAATTCATTCAAAAATGTGTTTGACTTTCAGAGACCCCAATGTTTCTATGCTCTAAGCTTTAAAACTATTATCTTAAAATGTAGTGGTTGTGCAAAGTTTTGGAACATTTTTGAAACAAGAGAACGGTCTTAAGACGATGAGATGTTTCAGGCCTCTGGTTTTGTTCGCTTGCTCTGCTATTCAGAAATACCAGTGATGGTTTGCACACTCTGAAGAGAATGAAATGAAAAAATTGACGTTTCATAAAAGATTTGAAGTGATATTTATCACATCAAATTTGTTACAAAAAGTCCCTTTTTTTCTTCCAGTAATGGAATTGGCGCCTAAGGTAATTGGAATTAGGGGACATTTTAATGAAATCACATTTCAAGTAAATGGCTGATGAATCACCTGTTAAAATGGTACTTTGCACTGTGAATAAGAAGCAGCCAGTCACCAGCACTGCTACACACACGGCTGCAGCTCAGGTCAAGGTTTGTACTAAGACAAAGCCAGATATATTTCACACATCCACGTGACAATGGCAACTAAAGGCCCCCAAACCATTGTCTTAAAATTTAATATAATGTAGAATTTTGGAATAATAGTCTTCAATTTCCTCAACGCAGTCTTATTTCAGAAACTGGCTTTCCTCATTTTCTTCAGTACTCAAAAGGAACTGTGGAAAATTAGCCTCTATCTTAACACTGATTCAAGACTTGTTTTCAAAATACCCCACAATCTTAAATTTTAAGACAATGGTCTTAAGCCAAAGAACATAAACGATTCTGGGCCCCATGTTTCCCAGGGAGCACTGACTTAGGTGTCAGCTTGGGTCAGTCTGTTTGTTCAGATGGACCTTAAAGAACCCATGGCACTATTCAAGCTGAATTTCACCCAGGTGTCATGACCAACGTTGCCCAGGATAATAGGGCATTCCACTTGTGCCTGTTGTGCGGTCTTGATGTGTGCAAAATAACTGCTATGATTCCCTATGAAAAAGTTTCTACACCTGACAGCAATAACTTAAATACTTTGAGGCATTTCCTCGTGCTATAAATAGGCATTCATTGTCTTACCTTGAAACCTGAGGGTATCATTAATTAGCTCCAATGAGTCAGCGATAGCATTATATTCTCCAACTTTCACTTCGACTTTATCTGCAAAGAAAGAGGGTGCATGTCACTTAGCATTCCAACAACTTGCTACAATGCATTAAGCAATAGTCAGTGCTGCTGCAAAAAAATTCAACTGTGAAACATTATCAATGTAATGACAGTGTTAAGAAGCTGCAAGTTGACAAACGGTTAAAAACTGTACCATTGATTACATCAAATGTAAATAACCTGTACTTCTCCACCATCTGCTGCGTTTCAGCCAGGCAACAGTAATCCCCATTTTAGTTTAAATGGTTTGGGATCTATTTTGAATATGCATAAATAAGCCATCAAATCAGACAAATTAGGTTCTCATGCATCTGTTGCCAGGTTAACTTGTCGCAAGGTATGGATTTCAATTTCTCATTGAGATGCCCATTTATATCTGTCAAGGTGTGTGCCCGATTACTTTCCTGATGGATCACTGGCAAGCTAAATCGACATAATCTGACATGCTAGAGAATCCTGAAATAACTTGGAATTGGAGACAAGGAATTTCATGCACTGATCTTGAGATTAATTCAAAACAATCACCATAGTGAATGGTTTTAGCCTATAAATAGTAATGTGCACATTTATTGGTAAACACCTGCAGATAAATAATGCTAGCTGAAGGGCATACAGAGAAACCAATGGAATGGGATTACATTAGATAGGTGAATAAGGAAGCTGGCACTCGTCTACACAATGGGAAATTACTTTTTCCAGGCAATAACATTACATACTTCTAAGTCATACCTGTCAACAATAACAACCACAACGTGCTTTTACATAGCGCCCTTCTCACAGGGTAACGGCTCAGAGTCAAGGTCGAAGTCACCATTGAATGCTACAATCCATGACTCAGAAGTCAAATGCCCATAGTAACTTCATAGATGATATCACTGAGGGTCTCAGGGCCTCGTCACTCATAGCTGGATAATTCATATCTAGCAGATCAGCAATTTGTAAATTTGAATGGCAAGTTAGGTCCATTGTATGAGACTGACATCCAGGATGGAGTTCCATAGAGCGGGGGCATATATGCTCAAGGTCTGATGTTGAGATGGGTAATAATAATCCTTGCATTTGATATAGCGCCTTATACGTCATTGAGACGTCTCAAAGCATTTCACAGAATATATTGTAAGGTGGAGTGACTGTATTTTGTGGTTGAAAAGGCAGAGTACATGTAGCAGGCCATGCCCACTAAGCAGAGGGAGCGGCCAGGTTGGTAGGGTTCCTCGCATTAATCAATATCTGTCTTCAACTTGCAGAAGATCAGACCATATTTCTGTCGACATGTAGTGGCAAGTCTCCAAGGTCAGACATTCAAAGACAACATGATCTGAGTGTACCCCTGTTTTACATATGAAGGAATTTTATCTCCTTTGGGTATGAATCAAAAGACTGGCAGAAAAACTGCATTTTTCATTTTGACAGAACTCAATACTGGAATGTAGCTTCTATGTGAGGCATTATACAGATGTCCCTTGAGTTATTGTATACGTGTACATGTACCTCTTCAGATGTAAATGGCTGCAATCTTTTTCAAAATGTTCATCAAAGTAACTGGGCATCATATTTGGTAAATTATTCGACATCAGAGCAATAATGTATCGAGAACCTCAAAACATCATTTATTTTGGAAGAATATTACAAAGAGCAGCTGTCATTCAGCAAAGTCCACTTCCTGTCATTCTCCAAGCTAAGTTTGGTTGACAGGCATATTGCACTTGTGATAACCAAGATGACTGACACCCGTGGGGAAATCACTTGTAATATGATAATTCTGAGAAAAACACAAAAACATGTTTAAAACATTCCTCAAATTAATCAACATCTGGCTGACTAATGAGATTTTGTGGTATCTTTTTCAACTGGCAGAAGATCAGACCTTGCCTCTGTCAACATACATGCCAATTCTCTATGATCAGATGTTCAAAGACTATGTGATCTGTGTGTAGCTATAGAACCATAGACAGTTACAGCACAGGGAAGGCTTTTTTAGCCCATTGCGTCCGTGCTTGCACTTTGAAAGTACAATCCATTCAGTCCGATTTACCTGCCATTCCCCCTACTGCTACCTCACTCTATGTAAAAGGTTTTACTGTATATATATCAAAAATTAGATTTCATTCCAGCAACATGCTTCCTTTTAAGATAATGAAGTGCCAAGTGCTCCATTTAATCCTGGGTCCCGGATAGCAATTTAACTGTGAAAATTAAAGGAAGGCAAATGGTAGCTTTTAAAGATTGAATAAATAAGGATACAAGTTAGAATTAGGAGAACATAGTAGTGTGAAAAGGAGTGTAAGTTAAAATTTAAAAAAAGGTAAGGGAGAGTGAAGAAAATTGAATAAAGCGGACAAATCCATGTAAATTAAAATGTTTGCATTATTTATTCTCGATAGTTTTTACATTTTTAGTCTTCAGGGTAAAAAAAAAGCTTTTTCTGATATTTGAGTAGTGTTATTAGTATAAGAATATTTCTGCAGTATCACAGTGTGTGGGCCCCCCAGAGGTGATTCTATTGTACTTGCTGGCAATCTTGGGATTAAAATATGCTCCAGTTAAACAGTTTCAAATACTATGAGTCTGAGTTGCATCCAAATACTTTAATCTTTAAAATGGTTGCAATTAAATCATTTAGAGAGCAATGTGATGCAACCATGCATGTAAACATGCCAGTTTAATTTAAACTTAATCCCAGTCTGGATTATATTTCTTTGTACATATGTGGTGTCCTGAGTCAAAGCAATTTTTGAGATGGAACTATTGGTACACCTACTCAGCAACAAAGAATTGAAGGTATTGCTTAATAAAATGGAATGAAATAATTGAAATACCAACCATTCAGGCCTCACAATATTATATAATATAATAATCCTTGCATTTGATGTAGCGCCTTATTACAATGTTCAGACAGTTCAAAGAGCTTCACAGAATATACTGTAAAGTGAATTGATTGTATATTTGTGGGCGAAACGCGGCAGCCAAGTGCGCACTATTGGATGCAATTATCAAACCACAGTCAGTTTGGTAAATTTTACGAATATACATTCTGAATAGAATGCTCTCTGCAGACAATATATTTTTAAGTTTATTTTTTACATGGATATTTGGGTAGCATTGTTTTGTGTTGCGTCTTATCCCTATCTTCCTTCTGCCTGTTCTTCAGGTGAGCATTAAAGATACTGTTTGGAAAGAGAAGAAGGGGGTTCTTCCAGTGTCTTGGTCAACAATCCTTCAGATAAATTGATAATTCACTTCATGACTGTCTGTGGGATTTTGCCGATCCAGATGACTGCCTTTTATTCCTTCTAAAAAAGGTCATTATTTGATATTAATTATCTGTGAAGAGTTTAGAGAAATTTTGACATAAATTGCTTTAAAAACATAATTCTTTCTTCCTCTGGCTGGTTGTCAGAGTCTGTAGCAACACACTACCCCCAAACTGCTACCAATTCCCAGTAATTGGGTGCCAGAGGCAAAGGGAATGCCCAGCTTGGCTCTCCTCTGCTGGTACATATCACAGTCTCTAGTCAGTCCCTCTTCACTGGTCAAACTCAGATTAGGAGGTGAGTGGAACGCTACACAAACCTGCATTTTCTTTTTGGTCAGCTGGATGTCTGACTCATGCGGAAACGCATCACATTGCTTAAGAGTATCCAAACCAAACTGAGAATTCCATGAATCCCACCTACATGTGGAAATTTCCAAGCTGTTTATTGGATTGGAATGTGTACTCTCCTTGGAGGGACGCATCATGTTTGCCTAATTCCTGAGAGTATTAGGCTCAGGTTAGCGAAAGTTTAGGGACTCCAGAGTGTGTGTTGGGGCACTGCTGGAGTTCATCCAGCTAAAACCGCATAGCGTGCCATTCATAACACTGTCTGGCAAGCTTTCCTGCTGCTTGTCCAGCTAGCATCACTCTACCCGTTATGGATTGGGCTTGCAAGGTTAATGGGAGCTCAGTGGGAAGAATCCCTGCCCACAGTGACTGGTCTGCCCTTCCAGGTCCTGCTGATGAGCCAGGCTGGCTGGGCTGACATCAGAAGTGCCTGGAATACAGTCGACCCGCCTGGTTCAGGAACTGGACTACCGAGACTCCATAGAGGGCTGGCTCAATCCTGACATTCCATTGCCAGGCATGTCACCTTGGAGCCAGTTCAGCTCCAAGGAAACCCTTTTTACCTCCCCCAAGGAGAAGAGTCATTAGTCAGTCATTTGGCATCCGACAAGCATGAGTTTCAATGCATCACTCACCTAGAATCAGTTGAGATTGCGATCTCAAAGTCCCAGTTTGGATCTGATGCCAAGTGTTACCAACTGAGTTAAATACATTTGAACATCTTTTCTGGAATCTCTTTTTATGGCTTATGGTTTCCAAAAATATTCAGCCAAGCTCATCTCCTTGCGACTTGTCTCCAGAACAATAGAAAATTTATCACAGGAGCCCACTTTCACCCCTGGTGGGGCTATTTAGTCTAATTTTCATGTGCTTATCATAAAATCATAGAATTATACAAGAACAATAAAATTTAATTTGTAAAGCGCCTTTCACGTCAGGAGGACGTCCCAAGGCAGTCGGGGATCACCACCCGAGCGTGGGGGGGCAGGGTAGGGATTAGGGTGGGCAGAGAGGGAGGTTGAATGCGTGAAGTTTCTAGGTGAGCCGGCTGAAGGGCAGCTCAAATACAGCACAGAAGGAGGCCATGCGGCCCATCATGTCTGTGCTGGCTCTTTGAAAAGAACTATCCAAATCAATCCCACTCTCTCCTCATAGCGCTGTAAACTTGTCCTCCCCAAATAATTATCTACTTCTCTCTTAAAAGTTGTTATCAAATCAGCTTCCACCACCCTTTCAGGCAATGCATTCCAGATTCAAACAACCGCTGCGTGAAAACATTTCTCCTCACCTCCCCTCTGTTTCTTTTAACAATTATTTTAAATTGATGTCCTCAGGTTACCGACCCACCCGCCAGTGGAAATAGTTTCTCCTTTTTCACCCTATCGAATCCTCTCATAATTTTGAAAACTTCCATTAAGTCTCCTCTTAACCTTCTCTGCTCCAAGGAGAATAATCCTAGCGTCTCTAGCCTCTCCTCATAACTGAAGTCCCTCATTCCTGGTACCATCTTGGTAAATCTCCTTTGCCCCCTGTCCAATGCCTTGACATCCTTCCTAAAGTGTGGTGCCCAAAATTGAACACAGTACTCCAGCTGAAGCCTAACCAGTGTTTTATAAAGGTTCATCATAACTTCCTGACTTTGTATTCTATGCCCCTATTTATAAAGCCTAGTGTTCTGTATGCTTTTTAACAGCATGGATTAACAACAGCATAAGTATCTAAATCACTTTTAAAAGCTTCAATACCCATTTGCAATAATGTTTGCACATCCCAGTAACCGTTTGTGTAAAGATGAATCTTCTAAACGCTCCCTTTATGCTTCCAGCAATAATCTTGCCAATTCATCAACTGGTAGAAATAACCTTTGGCTGTTTATCCTCTCAAAGCCTTTCATAATTTTCAACATTCTGTTAAATCTGTCTGAGTCTTCTCTACTCAATTGGAAACAGTTTTATTAAGCCTTTTTATCATCATTAAGGGGGATCCATGGTATCATCTTGGTGAACCTATCTCCATCTTCTCTATGGCTCGGATATCTTTTCTATAAAGGGATACCCTAAAATATCCACATGCTCAAAATGATTGAAAAAGTAAACCCGTTCAAAACTTTAGGATGTATCATGACAGCAGAACACGAGGACATAGGTTTGGAGTTGTAAAGGGCAATTTCAGGAAAGATATCAGGAAGTTTTTCTTTCTGCATAGGGTTATCAACAACTGGAATAGGTTACCAGGAAAAGTGGTGGAGGCCAGGACACTAAACTGATTTAGAAAGCAGCTTGATGAAGTGATGGGGGAACGGTAAGGTGCGTGCTCTGGAGAGATGAGATCAGATGGCCTTCTCCATCCAAAACAATCTAGTGATTTGGGGATCTTGTGACTTGTGACTTTGAAAATCTACTTGTATCTTGTTCCCTTTAACTTATCTGCTGAGTAATTTCAATAGGAGAGACAGATGTTAAAATAAATCTCTCAGGTTTATTATTGCATCACATGTGGTCTGAGATTCAGGGTCAGAATGCAAGTGAGCAGGTCAAGCAAAGCTGCAGTTTGCTATGCATGTGAATAATGACCTTAATGGCTTAGCACAAGTGTTTTATTTTACGTCAAATGTATTTAAAAATGTATTTGCACTTCTTATTTATTTGTATTGGAAGATTTTTTGTTGTTAGGTCCTTTCTGATTCAACCACCAATATGTTGAGGAGGAATAGTTACTTCATATTGCTTTCTGGACCACTTCTACAACAACAACAACTTGGATTTATATAGCGCCCTCCACGCTGGATGGCGTCTCAGAGCGCTTTACAGTAACGGATCCCAGGACCGAGCCAGGGGGGAGGGGAGGAAGGTGACCAAAGGCGCGGTCGAAAAGAAAGGTCTTCAGCAGAGACCTGAAAATGGGAAGGGAAGGAGCGAGATGAAGGGAGTGAGGAAGGCAGTTCCAGAACCTCGGGGCATAGTGGCTGAAGGCACGGCCGCCGAGGGTGGAGTGGAGGACTTGGGGGATAAGGAGGAGGTCAGACCTGGAGGATCGAAGGTAAGGGGTACTGTGCTGAGGAGAGAGGTCAGAGAGGTAGGGGGTTGCAAAGGAGTGCAGGGACTTGAATACGAGGGTGAGGATCTTGAAATCGATCCTCTCTGGGATAGGCAGCCAGTGCAGTCCGGCAAGGACTGGGGTGATCGGGGAGCGGAGTTTCGTGCGGGTGAGAATGTGGGCGGCAGAGTTCTGAATAAGTTGGATTTTATGGATGGTAGTGGATGGGAGACCAGGGCTCCCTCTACCTCCTTGTCCTCCTGGCGAGGAGGGCATTTGAATAGTCCAGCCGGGAGGTGACAAAGGCATGGACCAGAGTTTCAGCGGCTTTTGGGGAGAGGTATTGGCAGAGACGGGCGATGCGTCGGAGGTGGAAGAAAGTGGTGCTATTGAGGGACCGGGTGTGGGGGAGGAAGGATAATTGGGGGTCGAACCTGACGCCTTGGTTGCGTACGGGTTCGGAGAGTTTTAGGGGGAGGTCGGGTAGGTGGAGGAGGTGAGAACCATGAGATTTTAGACGTTGACGAGAGCCAAAGAGTATGGCTTCCGTCTTGTCAACGTTCAGCTGAAGGAAGTTTGCGCTCATCCAGTCCCTGAGATCTGACAGGTAGACTGACAGAACATCAGGGGACTGGGGGTCGCAAAGGGAGGTGGAAAAGTAGAGTTGGGTGTCATCTGCATACATGTGGAATGTCTGCCATGTCTGCGGATGACATCCCCAAGAGGGAGCATATAGATCAGAAAGAGGAGAGGGCCAAGGATGGATCCTTGGGGTACCTCACAGGTGACCGGGTGAGAGCGGGAGGAGAAGCCGTTTATGCAGATGTACTGCTGGCGGTTTGTGAGGTAATAATAATAATAATCCTTGCATTTGATATAGCGCTTTTCACGTCGGGAGGACGTCCCAAAGTGCTTCACAGAACACACTGTATGGTGAATTGACTGCATATTTGTGGGTGAACGCAGCAGCCAATTGAGCACAGCAATGTCCCACAAACAGTCGTAGATTAAAAATGACAAATTTATTATTGTTTTTGATTTGGGAGAGATTATTATTAGGCGTGTGGAGTAAGGAAACTTGCCCAAGGTTTCGCCCTGCCTTGAATTGAACTCAGGTCTCTCGCTTGCAAAGCGAGTGCTCTAACCACTGAGCTACAGGACTCCCTAGGACTCGAACCAGGCGAGTGGGGTCCCACTGAGGTGGATGATGGAGGAAAGGCAGTGGAGGAGGATGGTGTGATCGACTGTGTCGAACGCGGCGGAGAGGTCCAGGAGGACAAGGAGGCAGAGGGAGCCCTGGTCACTTCTAGACCAGGAAGCTATTCTCCCATCATATTAATAGACATGTTCATTGCCCTTCCTCTTAGCTGATCTGCATTGAGCACTGAAATGTCAAATCTTCATAGGGTGTGGGGAAGTAATTAACACAATGATTTATCCCATTTGATTTATATAGGAGACATTGTAAAGGTGATCATTGAATTTTCAGCTATTTTGGAATGCAATTTTCATTTCTCTGAGTCAATCACCAGTGTTAAGTATCACATCACATGTCACATTTTTCACTCTATTGGTGTTATCCCTCGGGACGTCCTCTTGACGTGAAAGGCGCTATACAAATGTAATCTTGTTATTGTTGTTGTTGTTATCCCATTATTGGCACAATTACACTACCATTTCCTGCACAAAGGGGAGATGTGAAGGAGCCATCATTGGACTGATTGCTGTGTAAATAACAACAGTAAGAAATTTAAATTAAAGGGCATAGAGCAAAGAGGCACCAATAATCTCCTCCCTATTTTAATACATAAACCTGGATCCCTTGTTCTTTGCACCTTCCTGGGTAGAGTGGAAGAAATGTCAGCTGAGATGACACAGATTGCTAGAAGCTATATAATCAGCTGCTTTTGAAGTTTGGAAAGGTTACTCTGTCCTCAGTATGGGTTTCCAGTTCTGCTTTACTTCTTTGCCAGAACTAGCTTCTGGGCCACAGCAGTAAATTGCTATTTTATGATTCAGTACAATGCAAGACCCACTGCTACTGACGATAGTTCTGGCAAAGAGGTAAGTTAGAACTTAAAACTCACACCAAGCACAGTGTGAGGTTTCATTCCTCCTAAGCAGCATGTTCCTGCAACTAGCTTTTGATGCCTCCATTCAACAAGCCGTCCATTGCAGTTTGTTTCCGAGAGCCATCTGTTTACACCTCCATTCACTATGTTTTATCTTAATGTGATTTACATGTTCTGGCTCCCTTTGCCATTAAGAGTTCTTTGCTATTCAACACCAACTGCAGAAAGATGTATTTATTCTCTTCCACTCCTGGCGAAAGAGATGGGTTGTTTCACACAATTGGCACTGAGAAGCCCACTAGTTATCTGTACAAGGGTTAAGGACAACAAGCGTCTTACCTTGGAACTGCGAGAATTTGATGGTCCCCATGCGCTCTCCATTCCTGAACACAACCTGCCCCTGGAAAGAAAGGACAAAAGAGTCTCAGAAGCCAATCGGAATATGCCACAACTCTCATATTAGCTATTTAAAAAAGCCAGCATAGCCAGCATAGACACAATGTGCTGAAAGTCCTTCGTCTGTGCTGTAAATACAAAGGTTTTTATGAAGTTAAACATGATAAACCAGTCCCCCTGCACCTCTGCAAACTCCAGGTCACCAGGCATCAAATCATATTTTGTGTGCAGCTTTTGAACGGCTTCTGAATAAAATATATCTTTTTTTTGTAGAAAGCCTGTGATATTTCCTTGACACTAATTTATTTGACAAGCTTGGTTAATCAGTTTAACATTGCTTGGCCAGTGATTTCTGTGTACTCAAAAAGATTTGCAGACACCCAGTTGAAGAGGAAAACATGCTCTGAATGAAAAACAGTGTTTGGAAAACTGGGGGTATTCAGTGAAGGGGAGAGGGGAGAATAACTCAACCAATTTCACAGACTTTCTACTTGGGCGCTTCACCCACAAAATATACAATCAATTCACTTTACACTATGTTCTGCAAAGCGCTTTGAGACATCTCAAAGACATGATAAGGCAGTTTTTCACACGCAAGGATTATCATTAGCAATTGTTGTCAAGGTTTCCTGTAACTTAAAATGTGAAGCCATTCACTTATGTTATAACTTCAAATAAGGGGAACAGTATCATGTTTTACAACATATTCTTTTGTGTTGTTCAAAACCTTAGTAGTATACACTTGGAGCACTTTGTACTGAGGCCTGTAGTATACAAATTGAATACTATTGACACTATCTTCCTGTCCACAGCTCAGACACACATCCATTCCCATTGAGTAATGGTTACACCAGTTGCCTCCATACCTCCAACTGGTGGAACGTTTACTCAATGTATGGACATGTATCCGAGCTGTGGACATGAAGATGATGTCAATGCTCTCATACATTTTGTGCTGAGTTGTGTTGCCCACCAAGAAGCTCACCTGCTACCTGCCATCCACCTAGTTAGGGCAGACACTTGTGCTTGTCAACTAGTGACTATCCTCCTCGTGGTGGAGGTAAGCTAAACTGACCAAGATGACATAATTGGCAACCACATGTTGGAATCGAGCCCATCCTCTGTGGCATCTCGGTAGACCAGTTCCTGAGTCAGGCAGGTTTGCAGTCTTCCAGAACACTGCTAAAGACAGTACAGCCAACTGGCTCATCGGCAGGACATGGAGGGAAGACCAGTCTCTGAGGGGAGGGACTCTTCCCAGTCCAGCATCCGTTAAACCTGCAAGCCAAATCCCTAAAGGGTAGGGAGGTCCTAGCTGGACAAGCAGAAATATTTATGGTTTTAGCTGGTTAGACTCCAGCAGTACTCTAATGTGTATTCTGGAGTCCCCAGGCCTTGGCTCTTGCCAATCTGTACCAAATATTTTTCTGGAATTAGGTAAACAGGATGCATCCCTTCAGGGAGCGAGTATGCATTCCATTCCAATAAATATCTAATAATTAATAAATAAATGGAATGGAATATTAATGCTGCTTTCAGCCTTACAGTTACTGTGTGCTTGCTCATGTTATGTGTTATGTTATCATTGAAGTGGTGGGGGTGGGAGTGAAAGAGCAGCCCCCACGGTCAGCCCAGGGATGATGCACCAGTGGGGTGTCTTAACTCTCTCTTTTTCCATCTCTTTGCGTTTGATATAGTGCCTTATCACGTCATCGAGATGTCTTAAAGTACTTCATAGGATACAATGTAAGTGGATTGACTGTGTATTTTCCGGGCGATATATGCCTCGATCCACAATTCACATGGCCCAGGAGAAATGCGTCATTCAAAATTACCAAATTGGTAGCAGTCAAAAGGGTATTATACAAGCTTTTACACTTTCACAGAAGTACACAGAGAAACAGCATGGTGACAGTAATGTGTATCCTTGGCAACGCTCTGCATTACAATGACTTAATTTATATACTTTCAGGCTTCTTTCTACTGATACAATCTTGATTCTTAGTATGTGACATAATGTCAGGGTTATTAATTCTTTAAGTATGTTCAAGCAGAACATAAAATAATTCTGTTTTTCTTAATTTACTCTTGCTCCTGTCCAACCTGTAACTGTGGGAAATGTTAAGATTGAAAAATTGCTGAAATGGGAAGAATGCAGTGCAAATGGCAACTAGCATCGGAAAAAGCACCTCGAGACAAAGAGATACCTTGTGCAGAGACCCCAGTGTGAGTCATTGCAGCCATGACAAGTCTGCTCCAAGGCGATCTTCATTCAGTATAAAACTCACAGTCACTCCTAAAATAATAGTCCGTGCATTTTGTATAGCGGCCTTCACTTTGCGAGGACATCCCAAAGCATTTCATGGGATTTTTGGTGAAATTGAACACCTGTGTACTTGTAGCTCAATGTGACAGTCCAATTGTGCAAGACATTGTTCCACAAACAACCATGAAACGAATGACCACGTAGGCTGGAACATGTGGAGAAACTCCCTTCACTTTTCAAAACTGTTATGGTATCTTTAACGTCTATCTGAACAGGCAGATGGGACCTTGGTTTAATGTCTCAGCCAAAGGACAGTCACTTTTGCAGTATATCCTTTGAAGAGCTTTGAGATGTCCTCCTGATGACAAAGGCACAGATTAAATGTAATGATTATTATTACTTACACTTATAAAACTCTCCATCCCATTCCTAAACTGAAATTAATTTGGGTCTTCATTATTAAAGGCACCAATTAATACACCAAATATTTGGGTGAGAATTTATTGCATATACTGTATTCCCTGATCTAGCAGAACTGCAAACTCACTTTTTTAAGCTGCAAATAATGTTTGTCACTTATAATATAATAATAATCCTTGCATTTGATATAGCGCCTTATCGTGTCTTTGAGACGTCTCAAAGCATTTCACAGAATACACTGTAAAGTAAATTGACTGTATATTTTGTAGACAAAACTTTGCAGCCAATTGCACACAGCAGTGTCCCACAAACAGTCGTAGACCACTTTGATTATTACCCCTGGAAAACTGATCTGCCAATCGACTAACAATCAGAACTATCTACTTACTGCTAGGTAAACAGAGGAATGTAGGGTAAGGAAACTTGCCCAACATTTTGCCCTGCCTGGGAATCAAACCCAGGTCCTAGCGATTGCGAGGCGAGTGCTCACAAAACATAGTCAATTTACTTTACAGTATATTCTGTGAAGCGCTTTGAGACATCTGGAAGATGCGATAAAGCGCTATATCAACTGCAAGGATTATTATTTATTATTATTATAAGCTATAGGATTCCACAGATAGTACAACAGACATCTATGTAGGAGGATGGTTAATAGTCTGCCAACACTCACTGTCCAGGCTCATAGGTTATGGTGATAGGTGCCTATTGAACAGTTCCTGTAGGATAAGAGAGGCCACAAATTTTGGTTGATCAACAGTGGCTTGCACCTTCCCTTACCTCCTTCAAGGTCCATCTAAAAGCCGTCCTCTTTGATCGTGTTTTGGTCACCTTCCCAATCCCCACCACCCCCAACCACCTCAGCCCAGTCCCCAGCCGATACCACCAGCTCAGGTGCAAACCTCTGAGCCTTGGGATGTCCAACTGACATGAAAGGCACCATATAAATGTCAATTTTTGTTGTTTATATCAAGAGTGCATCAATGGATTTTTGCAAGCCTCAACCAGCAAAACTAAAGAAATTAGAAAACTAGAAAAATCCAAATAATTTAGCAGGCTAAAATGTAACTCTAAGTTCAATGATAAACCAAGTGTAATAGCATACAATCTAAACTTCACAATGTATGCATGGATTTATCAGGTTCTTCCTGTCTCACTTGCTAAATAACTGCCAATATATGTCTAGCCAGATGCATCAGTCAACACTAAGTGCTGGATGGTGTAACCTGCTGCTTTCAGAAATGATTTTCAGTCCCTACAAGGGGAAAGCACAGGAGGCACTTTTCCTGTGTGGTGTATCTGAGCTACAGTCCATAAATTCTTTGCACAGAAATTGAGAATAAACATGCAGTTGAGGCCAGTGGATGTACCAACTGGGAAAATATTTTCATAAATTGACTCTGTGGTCATGGTGGAACATCTTGCCATTCCTAAGCGCTCTGAGACGCCGTCTGGCGTGGAGGGTGCTATATAAATGCAAGTTGTTGTTGTTGTTTAATGTTGGGGAATATTTTAAATGTTCAACACAATGAGAAATAGGCATGTGTTGAGCTAAGGTGATGTCCATTGACAAGAATGATACTTTGTGGTCTATCACTATAATTGCACGTTGTTGGGAGTGAAAATCTTTATCCCAAAATATGTTACCTGATCCATTAGGAAAGCCCTGAATCTCAACATATGTGCAACCTACAATTCGTAGTCTCTTTGGAAGCCCACAAAGGCACCAAACTGTTTTCACTGCTGTCTTACTCTCTGAAAGTGGACACAATTCTAAGCTCTCTCAGCAAGGCCTGTGTCACTCTTTTGATCAATTTTGATTTAGGTTCTTCAGCTATATTCACAGCATGAGGATAGTGGTCTGGGCCATTGAGATACTTTATCATGGGGAAACCAGCGTCTCTGGTTTTCAATGAGTTAGGTACACTTTCTCATGGATATATTTTCATGTGGAGAGTCCTTCCGCTGAGGTACCAAAGCTCTTTTTTAACCAGTTCAATGAACACAAACAAGGGCAACCTTGGGTTAATTTGGGTTCACTTATAGCATGGTGTGCTGTAGACCAGAAGTGCACCATAGACATTGACTGTCTGGCTTCCTGTGTGCGACACACAAGTGTTTTATACGCAGAAAGCGTGACTTATGTCACTTCCTGCGTGCTGTGCATTGGAGCCATATGCAGGGTTTGCCAATTAAGTCACTTTACGAAGAAAGGGACGTCAGCAGGTTTCCTGTGCATTATACACAAATGTAGAATTTGAAGGAAGTGACATCAGGAAATTCAGACCCAGTAGCTTTTTTTTGTGTGCCTCTTTATG